CCATATACGTGCATGGTCTATGTACACCATATACAGTACCTGCATGGTCTATGTACACCATATACAGTACCTGCATGGTCTATGTACACCATATACAGTACCAGCATGGTCTATGTACACCATATACAGTACCAGCATGGTCTATGTACACCATATACAGTACCAGCATGGTCTATGTACACATATACAGTACCAGCATGGTCTGTACCATATACAGTACCAGCATGGTCTATGTACCCATATCTGACCAGCATGGTCTATGTACACCATATACAGTACCTGCATGGTCTATGTACACCATATACAGTACCAGCATGGTCTATGTCACCATATACAGTCCAGCATTCTATGCCATATACAGTACCAGCATGGTCTATGTACACCATATACAGTACCAGCATGGTTATCCACCATATACAGTACCGCATGGCTTGCACCATATACAGTACCAGCATGGTCTGACACCATATACAGTACCAGCATGGTCTGTACACCATATACAGTACCAGCATGGTCTGTACACCATATACAGTACCAGCATGGTCTGCTGGCATATACAGTACCAGCATGGTCTATGTACACCATATACAGTACCAGCATGGTCTATGTACACCATATACAGTACCAGCATGGTTACATATACAACCACCAGCATGGTCTATGCACACCATATACAGTACCTGCATGGTCTGTACACCATATACAGTACCTGCAGGTCTATGTACACCATACAGTACCTGCATGGTCTATGTGCACCATATACAGTACCAGCATGGTCTATGTACACCATATACCAGTACCAGCATGGTCTGTACAGTACCAGCATGGTCTTGTGCACCATCAGTACCGCATGGTCTGTACACCATATACAGTACCAGCATGGTCTATGTACACCATATACAGTACCTGCATGGTCTATGTACACCATATACAGTCCGCATGTCTATGCACACCATATCGTACCTGCATGGTCTATGTACACCATATACAGTACCAGCATGGTCTATGTGCACCATATACAGCACCAGCATGGTCTATGCACATATATACAGTACCAGCATGTTCTATGTACACCATATACAGTACCTGCATGGTCTATGTACACATATACAGTACCTGCATGGTCTGCAACCATATACAGTACCAGCATGGTCTGTACACCATATACAGTACCAGCATGGTCTATGTGCACACCATATACATGCACCATGGTCTATGTACACCATATACAGTACCTGCATGGTCTATGTACACCATATACAGTACCAGCATGGTCTATGTACCATATACAGTACCAGCATGGTCTATGTACACCATATACAGTACCTGCATGGTCTATGTGCACCATATACAGTACCAGCATGGTCTGTGTACACCATATACAGTACCTGTGGTTATGTACACCATATACAGTACCAGCATGGTCTATGTACACCATATACAGTACCAGCATGGTCTATGTACACCATATACAGTACCAGCATGGTCTGTAGCACCATATACAGTACCAGCATGGTCTAGCACACCCATATACCCAGTACCAGCATGAGATCTTATGTTGCACCATATACAGTACCAGCATGGTCTGTGTACACCATATACAGTACTTAATGGTCTATGTACGCACACCATATACAGTACCTGCATGGTCTATATGCACCATACAGTACCTGCATGGTCTATGTGCACCATATACAGTGCCAGCATAGTCTATGTACACCATATACAGGCTGCATGGTCTGTACACCATATACAGTACCTGCATAGTTGTCATGCACCATATACAGTACCAGCATGGTCTATATTGCACCATACCAATTGCCAGCATGAGGTCTATGTACACCATATACAGTAGCATGGTCTATGTGCACCATATACAGTACCAGCATGGTCTATGTGCACCATATACAGTGCCCTTCATGGTCTGTGTGCACCATATACCACAGTGCCTGCATGGTCTATGTACACCATATACAGTACCTGCATGGTCTGTATTGCACCATATACCCAATTCCAGCATGGTCTATGTGCACCATATACAGTAGCCTGCATGAGGATCTGTGTACACCATATACGGTACCTGCATGGTCTATGTGCACCATATACAGTACCTGCATGGTCTGTATTGCACCATATACAGTGTGCCAGCATGGTCTATGCACCATATATACAGTACCAGCATGGTCTATGTACACCATATACCCAGTACCAGCATGGTCTATATTGCACCATATACAGTACTGCATAGTGCTATGTACACCATATACAGGTACCTGCCATGGTCTATGTACACCATATACAGTACCTGCATGGTCTATGTGCACCATGTAGTACCAGCATGGTCTATGTACACCATATACAGTACCAGCATGGTCTATGTGCACCATACAGTGCCCTGCATGGTCTATGTGCACCATATACAGTACCTGCATGGTCTATGTACACCATATACAGTGCCAGCATGAGATGCTGTATTTGCACCATATGCAGTGCCTGCATGGTCTGTGTGCACCATATGCAGTACCAGCATGGTCTGTGTGCACCATATACAGTGCCAGCATAGTCTGTGTTGCACCATATACAGTACCTGCATGGTCTATGTACACCATATACAGTACCTGCATGGTCTATGTACACCATATACAGTACCAGCATGGTCTATGTACACCATATACAGTACCAGCATGGTCTATGTACACCATATACAGTACCTGCATGGTCTATGTACACCATATACAGTACCAGCATGGTCTATGTACACCATATACAGTACCAGCATTACCTATACTGTACTGTACAGTTTGTTGAATTGTCCCCACATTGTCTTTATACTGTACAGTACAAGCCAAACCAATTGTAAACTTATATGATGATTTTATTGAATAATTATTATTATTATTATTATTATTATTATCATCATCATATCCTGGAGGCAAGGTACTAAGGATGTGTTCTGTGTTGACAGCTTGTGTTTCATCTGATTCCATGCATCAACTATTGGGATTAGGTCCAGTAAGTTCCCAGGCCATTTAAACACTTAAATAGCCTTACATACACTTCGTGAGGAGTGAAGTTTTGTTGTTGTTTTGGTGGGATAATGAGATGGCATATTCAGGTCCTTTTACAGTCAGTGTTGAATTGTTATTCTCACACATGTTGATATGTGTTGGTTTTTTGGGGATGACATTGCCAATTTCATCATCACTTCTCATCTCATTAACATCTGGGTTTTTTTTTGGAGGGGGGGGGGGAATAGCCCACCCAGGCACAGTTGCCAAATCCACCAAACATTGCCCGTTAAAGTACCTGTAAAAGAGAGAGAGTGAAGCAACATTGTGGCAAAGAGAAAGGGAAGAAAGATTATCAACTAAAGGAGGAGAGTCAATAAGACAAAATGCCTTTGATTCCACCCTATCTTACAGTTGGACAGAAGAAGAGCCACCCCAGATATGAGAGCAGTACTCCAAGTTAGGACGAATGAATCCCTTATAAACGTGAAGCAACTGCTCAGGAGTGAAGTAACTACTGCATCTGTACAGCATTCCCAGCTTTCGGGAGGCAGCTTTAGCAATGTTGTGGATGTGTGGCTTCCATGACATATTAGAGGAGATGGTGAGGCCTAGCATATCAATTTTAGAACTTGGCAGAATGATGCTCTGTGTTTTTTCTGTCTTCAGAATGTGAGAAAAACTGATGTAACTGCCCCAGGATACTGTAAGCTAAACACACTGGCCATGTGGAAATCATGTGCAGAGGCCCAAGGCACCACTGAATTGGGAAAAAAAATTTAATGCCTAATATAATTTGGCGGGCAGTAACTAGACCTTAATTTTAGCACTTAGAAATGTCTCTAAGTAACGGGATAAAAAAAATTGCAGACACTGTAGTTCTGTAGTACAGTATAGATGGGAGGAATTGGGAAATTATTTGAACATGTTCAGAACCCCCAAATCTGTGTATGGTATCTGCTTCTAAGGCTGTAAAAATGTGATATTTACAAATTAAGCTTCATCTGGGGAAACTTAATTCAAAGCAACAGAGGCAAGATACAGTAGTTGAGTCAGGTGTACTAGACATAGATGATTGAGGAGACTGTCATTGTCAGCAAGTAGTGACGTTTTACTGCTGCTAATATCACAGTCACTGGCTTCCATGGTAAGTGTAGGAGAACACTTTGGTTCAGCTGTTATACTGTACGTAGTGTAATACTGAGACAGTTATATAGAGTTTCAGGTAAATGAGATTGTACTCAATTGCCATTTAATCCACCTCTACCTACCCCACCTCTCCATCATCAAGGTGCCTTTTGATTTTTTATATCATGGTGTGGAATGAATCTTGTTATGTGCACCAGTATCAAGGTAATGTGTGGCTGTGCTTCTCATAATGTAGCACACTGCATAACACAGATTTATTATAAGTGTAAAGTACTTTTAATCTTACCGAAAACTGGGTGAACAAACAGTTGTCGTGCGGCCATTTGTGTCTCTGTCCCAGTTTCCCTGGCTGAAGAGAGATGTCGCTGTCACTAACAATATGTGCCCCAGGAAAAATTAAGTGTATGGCACTTTATGGAGTTTTGCACAGCTATGTAAGTGCTCAGCCCAGAGGGAGCATTGCCCACCATACAGTATCTTCATCTGTCTCACCTAGAGTTGTTAACAATATTACACATAAAGTGACCAGCTTAGAACATTGAAATTATGATGGCTTCTGTTTATCCATCCTTGGATTACTTCTGTACATAATTCTTTTTAGCATTTTAATTGATTTTTGCACTGGTAAGGCCTTGTGTGCTTCGTAAATACAATTCAGGTTGTTTGTATTAAGAATGATGTATGGCATACACCTAAAAACACCTTGAAATTGGGGTAAAACATTACCTATGTTATTCCTTGTGGAAACTCTTCATTGAAGATTATGAAAGATCTTTAAATTAACAAAAATCACTGCCAGACATTTTGAACTTGTCTTCTGAATATAGAATATCTCAATTTCAGGTACATCCAACATACCATTCGAGAGAATGAAATTGTGATGCATATCCACCCAGGAGAATCAGGGATGCAAATGCCAGATGAACCAAGTCATGCCACACTTACCATCCAGGCCACAGATCCTGCCACCAACACCACCACAACTCGCCGATTCCATTGCACATACCAAGGCTGTGACCGCACCTATAGCACTCCAGGCAACTTACGTACACATTTAAAGACACACAGAGGTAAGCTCATGACTTATACAGTACAGTCTTTTACTTTTACTTTTTTACTTTTATCCTCTTCACCACTGATCGGCTTGTTAGCCGCCCGGGCGATCGGTCACGTCTCTGTCACGCACTTGGTTTATAAATTGAAGTTCTGTACTGTATCTGTATCTCTAAATCTCTCACATTCTTGCTTCACAAGCAAGTGGCAATTGCTTTATTTTTTTTTTAGTAAATTCTTGAATGGAGAATTCTTCAGGTGTGTATGGGACCATTCTCTCCTGGTATTCTCTGTGGTGAATTATTATTATGGGTACAAGAGTTGTGTAAATGTCAGTAACCTCTGGAGCTCTCCATGGCATCATAAAACTTTAAACGTTTGGATAACTTCATGTTTCATGTTATTTAATCATGCCAGTTTTTCAGTTTTCTATCAAAATTAACTGATTCCAGGAGAATTCAGATTCCAGTGTCGAGCTACAGGATGTGGCAAGGCATTTCTCACGTCATATTCACTCAAGGTGCACCTCAGAGTCCACGCCCAGCAGAAGCCTTACACTTGTGAAAATGATGGATGCCAAAAAGCCTTCACTACTTTGTACAGGTGAGACACTCACATGTTCTTACCTCTCATTTTACTATTGTTGATGGATTATAGGCAGTCCCTTATTTGCGAAGGTTTGATTTGAAAAAAAAAAAACTTGAATTTGCAAGGAAAATATTGTCCCATGATTTTTATTTACAAAAGATAAACCCAAAGTTATGAAAAAGAAATGTGCTATTTTCAAATATTTTACCTAGTAAAACTTTTTTTTACGACCAGTATGCTTACTTGTTTCATTAGTCTCTGACTCTCACAAAAATTGTGACCAAGTCCCAGGTTGCTGATCAGACTTTCTGCCTCATTTACACACAATTACAGGGTCTCAATTGTTTCTCTTACTTTGACAACACAACATTCATATATTGTTTCTCACTATTGATATTTTTTGGGGTATTTTTGTATTTATTTACGGTCCATTATTGTAATTATTATTATCATTATTTTGTTTTATTTTTTAATAAATTTTTGTATTGATTTTTATTAATTATTATTACCTGTACTTTATTATTATTATTATTATTATTATTATTATTATTGTTATTATTATTATTATTATTATTATATTTTCGCTACCACGCCCCTATGTGGGTCAGTGACCTGTGCCTGGGTGGTCCCCGAGATATGCTAGGGACTGTCAGTTGATTGAAAATGTCCAAAGGAGGGCCACCGGACTGGTGCCTGCATTACGGCACCATAGCTACCCTGAGAGATGAAGAGCACCTGAAATTGCCTAGCTTATACTACAGACCGGCAAGGGGCGACCTAATTGAGGTGTATAAGCATCTCAAAGGGCACTACTCTGTCGAGTGCCCTTACCTGGAGCTCAAGGTTGAAGAATACCACAAGCCCAGAAAACAGCGAGGGGTAACTTTTTCTGGGTGAGAGTTGTGAACTCTTGGAACAATCTGCCAGAGTGTTGTGACAGCACCGAGTGTGAGCTCTTTCAAGACCAGACTTGACCAACACTGGAGCGGGTTCAGATACACTCAGAAGCCTGTGCATGCCCAGTACCTGCAACAGCACGTAACAGAGATGTGACCAATCACCCAAGCGGCTAAAGAGCCGATCAGTGGTGAAGAGGATATGAAAAATAAATAAATAAAAACATTTTCATGGCATTTTAAAAAATTTGGGGGGATTAAATTTGTTTTGAAGAAGTGTATCTGAGCCTTTATAATAGGAATACTTATGGGAAAATGGAGACGCTTATAGTTCATAATAATGGGTAGAATGTTCTTTACTTAAATACTTTAATACAAAAGGCATAACTAGAGACAGATGTTGTGAAGGAAATTTGATAATACAGGTACATTAGTAACAATACAGTAATAGCAACAGGATACTGGGATAGAGAGTTAATGAAAAACTTGTAATTGGATTGTTGTAAGAAAATGTAATGATATTCTCCCTCAGATAAGAATTTTTTTAATAACTTCTTCCTATTATGCACCAGTCTATTGTTTCAGATTATTTACTGCAACTTTTATTACATCCCACAAGAGGAGGATGTCTCTCACTGATCTCTTGTGGTGCTTCTTCATCTTCTCCCGTTCTCATCCATCGTTTATATGTGTATTTATTTCACTAAGTTGCTCATGTATGTTGCTGCTGTGGTCAGGGTGGTGGAGTTCAGGTTCAGTACTATGGCCAGCAGTGGAAGGGCAAGTTCAGATGACACTCTCCTTGCATGATACAGGTTTTAATATCTCAATGGCACTAGTTGTTGTGGTGTTTTTGTAAATGTTATTTCTTTTGTTTAGATTGAGAGCCCACCAGCGCCTTCACAATGGGGACACATTCAACTGTAGCCAGGATGGTTGTGTTCGTATCTTCACTACACTGTCAGACTTGAGGAAGCATGTTCGCACCCACACTGGAGAGAAACCATTTAAGTATGTGCAGTTATTGATGTTTCTTTATATAATATATTTATGCTTATTCGAACTATGTTTTACAGTTCACTCAAAGATTTATTTAAGTTTTGATACTACTAGTTTGAGTGTACAGCTAATATCAAGAGATTAACTAAATACTGTATTGAATTTTATGAGAATGGTTTATTTGCTACTCATTTATTTTTGGTTTAATTCACAAGACTTATTGGTGGTAGGAAATGGGTGCAGGTGTACAAGACATGTGTCTCTCCTACAGGTGTGAAGAAGATGGTTGTGGCAAGTCCTTCACTGTGAGTCATCATCTTCGAACTCATAAACGGATACACACTGGTACGCTGAAACACCAGCTTAATTACTAACAGTGAACATTTTATCTCTTAGAATGTTTCTTGACAATAGTGTGACTTATATGTTCAGGGATACTCAAGGCTACATCAGTTTCATTGATGTATCCAACAACTATCAAAGGTACAGTAAATCCTCTATTTACATCATTCCTAATTATGTCTTTTTCCCCTTACCATCGTTGACATAGGGTATTGGGAACAAATTTTGGCTTAAATTGCGTTGTTTCAAATTACTTAACTTCTTTTTGAAAAATTTAAATATTCGTGCGCCACTGTCTCTACTTTGAGCAGCCTCCACACACAATTTTCTCTGCCATCTCTGGTTAGTGTTAAAGCTTATTTATTCAGCACTTACTGTATTTCCATGCATAAGTAAGGGTTTGTTCAACTTATGTTGATATTTAATAGGAAATATGGGATTTAGGTACTGTATAAAAATAAGTTTCTCATAGTTGCATCTGCTAGTTCCTGTGATCAGTTGTTTAGTTTCTGTCCAATGCTATTAATTCACATTTTCACCACATATGTTGTTTGGCTTTGCTTCCTTTGATAAATGTGTAACATTTCAATAATCTAACTAGAAATGTTTAGATTCCTGTTTAACAGTTACAAAAAAGAAAGAAAATTGCAAAGAAAACCTCATATGAATTAAATTATGTGGCAGATGCTAAAGTATTCAGAATACTGTAGCTAGGAAATTCGTGGGTAGAAACAAGGATGATGGTGAGAAGTGCATAAGAAGTGACCATGGTAAAGTGGTTGTTGATGGCAAGGAAATCAAGGATGCCTGGAGAAAATACTACAATTAACTTTTGAATGAGGAATACGAATAGTACAGTGGCCGCCTAGGGGTAGCAGAACCGGTGCAGGAACCATGCCTAATGATTGAAAACAACTGGGTGAAGAAAGACATTGACATATGGAATAATGGAAAGGCATGTGAAAGCTTTGTAATGGTTGCAGAAATGCTGAAAGCATCAGGCGATGTAGGCATGTGTTGGTGATAACCGAATTGATGAATGCCATCAAGGTGGAATGTGCTGTTCCAGACAACTGGCAGAAGATTGTGATCATAAATACTTACAAGGGTAAAGGTGAAGCACTGGAGTACAGGAACTACAGGGGCCTTAAGTTGCTAGATCAGATTATGAAAGTAGTGGAAAGGGTGATTGAGAAACCGGTAAGGGAAAAAGTGGACATACCGGGCAAAATAAAGTTTGGGTTTATGCCAGGTATGGGGTCTACAGAGGAAACACTTATGGCCAGGCAACTATAAAAGAAATATCTAGGGAAGGAGAGAAGTTTGTATTTTGGAGACTTGGAGAAGGCATGACGAGTACATTACCATGTGAAGCAGTATTGAGTAACCTAGGGGTCAAGGAGAACAATATTTGAGTGGTTATGGCATTATATGAAGGCTCAAAAACCTCTGTGAGGCTGAATGGTGAAGAAAATGGGGGATTTGAGATGAAAATAGGGATCTGTCTTAAACCTCTTCTGTTTGTTGTGGTGCCAAAGCTAATGTCACATGACTTTACAGTTAAGAAACTGACAAGAGAGACTGCAAGAGTCTGTCCAGAGACTAACCCGTTTAAGCGTGGAAAATGGATGTAAAATATCAATGATCGTGATTTCTGCCAATAAGCATTAGACTAATTTACCCGGCAGGCACAACGCATTAGTTAAAGAGCATGACACACACCCTAGCTCCGGCACAGTAATATAGCAGGGATATCACACAGTACTGTACATATACCCTGACTGAACTTTATAAAATCTTCAATATTTACTGATTTTTTGTCTATTTACATACTGAAGCAATGTAAATTTTAATGGCGATTTTACAAAATAAATATCTATCTGTTTATCTATACTGTATTGTATATGTGCTTGTTTAGAATATCTACAATACTGTACCTCTTTTGGTAAGGATTAAATGTTTGTTCTGTGCAGTGTGGCCAATAAACTCCTTTCAGGAACCCATCTCCCATATACAGTACTGTATAACATTTAGTCTATTGGAAATAGATACCAACTTACATCATTTCGCCTAACATCGTGTCTTTAGGAATTCATCCACAATGTAGATAGAGGACTTACTGTACAGTATATTATTGAAACTTTGCTGGACACTTTAAATTATAAAAGCTTTTTAAGATATGTCTCAAAAAGGTTACAAGTTACAACCATAGTGTCATCTTTTATTGTTGTGACTACCATAGTTCATTAATTACTAGACATAATCAATTGTCTTTGAAGCTTTTGTAAAATGATGTTATGGCATGCAACTTTTTGGACTGCAGGAAAAGTACACATTCTTACTACTGTACTGTGCTTTCAGGTGAACGGCCATATATGTGTGTGGAACGGAACTGTCAGAAGGCCTTTACAACCAACTACTCAAGAAAAAGTCATATGCGGGTCCACAAACGTAACTCAGATAACAAGGAGCAGCAGGAGGAACATAAGTTGATACAGACACCACTACAACACAACTTGTCCAACCTTAACCAATCTCCAAATTCTGTTCTTCCTCAAAAGAAAGTATGATTATCACAGTTGACTGTTTTGTATTCATTTATATGAGAGACCATAGTGTTTAGTGTTAAAAATGTTGTAGCTATATACATCAGGGCCTTGCTGTTGTAGGGGTTAGGTTCTTGTAAATTGCCACAAACCACAAATTCATGAAGTGTAAACTTAAAGGGTAATGGGGAAAATGTGGTTTCTGTGGTCAGCTTTCAAATTTGTCACTCCATTTTGCCAAACTATATCTTAATTAACAGGTTTAAAAAAAAAATTCACAATAACATAATCGTATCCCTGTTGTAGATTGATTGATTTTATTGGGAATAATCACGTACAGGATACAATAAATGAAGAATGAATAAAAACAAGATATAAATTCCTTATACAGTACACCTATCTGTATGGAACTCTGAGGACAACACAAAAGTCAAAACATGTAATTTAAATGAGTAAATTTAATTGTTGTAAAGTAAATATAAGAACATTTTTACGGTGAACATTACGTTGTTTAGGTAGTCCTCACTACTTTAGGTTTTGGTAATGTTTGGTGTGATCCATTGATGTAGACTGTAGGTAAAACATTGTGTCAGTTTTATCATTGCCTTTATCACACTCACTGACTCCTCCACTTTTGGCCACATACAGTACAGTTGATGCTTGGTTAGTCGTCTTTATATACATTAGGATAGTTTTACAGTAAACATGATTTTTCTTGGTTATTTTATAATTTTGTAGCTAATACTTGGAAGTTTGTGGGTTGCAGCTTAAGAGGAGCAGTAGCCAGGTCAATCAACTAGCTGTTCTGCTAACTCGACCTGCATTTATCTGTGCTTCTGCAACTTATGGCAGCTGTTATGTATTAATGGGTTCTTTGTTGTAGCTGAAGGGCTCCCAACTTACCGTGTGGTTCTGGGTTCAGCTCAGGCCCATTGTGTGATCGTGCAACATAGCATAGCAGAGAAAATGAACCGTCTTCTAACATTCCTCGTTTCTTCACAACCATATTTTACAACTGGATCTTACACAGTGAACTTGAATAACCTTGTGGGATGCTGAGCCTGTACAGACTGATGATGTGATCTTGAGGGAGAGAGAAAATGGCGCTCATATTCTTCCGCTCTGTTCTAACGTTATGCTCTGTGGCAACTATTTTTTTCTCATGCCAGCCCATAAATTGTCAATCCGCAAACCACGGCTCAAAAATCATATCAAAAAAGAAAATTCGCAAAGGGAAGTGCATGAACAGCAGGGCCCTTCTGTAAGGCTTTAGTTACTGAGTGATGGATGAAGCCTATTTCTGGTTGAGATTAAGGAATATTTATCTGCCAAAGTGAAAATCCTTGTACTGCATTTACTTTGTAACATCTCTTTGTTATGTTGATTGGAGATGGAGGATGTGAAGGTCTCATATATTTCAGTGTTGGCTAATCAAATATGCTAACACATTTGTTTATCCACTTTTACTTTTCATCTCTGCATCTGTAATTCGTTTTTGTTTTCTGTATGTTGATGAGTTCAATCATGAAAGTTGGTCATCATCAGGTGGCGGAGGAGACAAGACAGGTGACAAAGAAGCAAGACAGTAGTGATTCAGCGGGCATGAGTGGTGATGGTGGAGGCAGAAGAGGAGGGTGTTGTGGAGGACAGAGTGGTGGTGATGGTGGAGGCAGAAAAGGAGGGTGTTGTGGAGGACAGCAGCATCAGTTCTCCAATACAGCTGCTCCAAAGCCTAAAGGTTTGTAATGAGATTATTTTCATTGCCTTTACAGTACTTCCTCTAAGTTATCTCTCAAACACATTGTGATCACATCAGTTTACATGAGGCAGAAAAATTTACTCTGTATCAAAACACCTTTTCTGTGACTTACCTAATTTGTTTTATTGGTCGTTGTGAAATAACTATAATAAAGTTAATCAAGAAAAATAATACTAGCCAGAGTTGGTATTTTGCAGTTTTTGCAATCATTCCTGTGGAAGGAGATGCAGGAAAGAGTCCTACTAGTCTCACATTACAGGATTTCTTGGAATCTGAAACTCTCAGATGCAACCCAAATATGAAGGTTAGTCATCAGCTCATGGACATGGAATAATACTTCATGACTTGAGATTCAGCTTTAAGTTATGTTTTAATGAGTTTTTCCCTCTTCCCCCACCCCTCCCTTTCTTGTAAGCCCTCCCCTTTATGGTGCAGGCTGTCTGAGTAACACAGACTATCCTGCTACTCCCTCTCATGCATCCTCTTTCACTGCTGTAACAAATGTCTTCTATTAAGGAGTAACAGAGCACGTCCCTTGTATGTTCATCTGGGATACTCCTATTGTTTGATACAACCTAACACTACGCCATCAACCCTCACTTGGTGTCTAAATGTAATCTTTTGCCTCACATAGTAGATAAGGATTGGAAGATGGTGTGATTTCAGCAATTCTTTCTCTGCATCCATAGTTAGCTTCTTACCAAGTATGTACAGTATACCTCAAGTAGAAATACCATAATCATCCATCCCAATTAACAGTCATCAACTACAGTATATAGATGGGATATCTACCCTAACCATCTAAGCAAGTGCCTAAACAATCTTTAAAGTAACTCAGTAGGATCAGTTTAACACCACTGGATTTAACAGGGTCGATGACATCATAAAAAAAGGGCTGTATTCTTTTTTTTTTTTACATGTATAGCGCAAGAGCATAAAAGTTATCTACTTGAAACCTGTGAGTATTGCAGATGACTGTCATATGAGTCAGTCTGTTGCTCAACTTACACAATTATAATGTATGGGGACTGCAGGGTGATTTTTTTAAAGATTTTAAAGTTTGCAGTGCGGTATCAGTTTCCTTAACACACTAGTAAATATTCACAAAGAAATTATTAAAACACTGTTTCTTGCTAAATGACAGTTTAGAAGAAGGTCATTCAGCATTTGCATTTCAGAAATTAAAGGTGAAGGGTTTTGGTGGAAGCATTGGAGGAGAGAGTGTGTCAGCAATTCACAGTGACTTAATCACAGAATTATTTAACAAAGAAACCAAAGGAACTGCTGGGCCTTGTTGTGATGGTATGAGTCCAGACACAGAGGCTGTAAATACATGGGTAAGAACCATCCACATTCACAGTTATCTCCAGAAGGCCTTTAGGAAGTAAATACTCATGCAGACACCTTCCAAGCATAAAGAACTGAGTCAGGGTGACAAATAAAATCATGCAGATCATATGAAAAGTCAAAAGAGCCAACTTAGAATCTATGGTGTTGATCGCACCGACAAATGCCCACCAAAATGTTTACCAACTGGTCTTCAAATAGAAAGTGAGAATACGGCGCACAAGCTTTTCAATAATTATTCATTACTGGAACATATAGAATTCTTTATGCATTCTTACAGTTATTAAATGCTTATTGTTTTAATATAACTCAGTTGTAATAATGGGTGGAGTTAATGCAGGTTGGTAGTGGTGGTGGGTGGTCAGTTGACAAACAGCCAAGATGGAGATTACTCACTACATTAACCAGGTAGTCTTTCTCAATCTTTACGTGTATCTTTACCAATTTTTTTTTTTTTGTATATTTGAGAACATCAAGGTTGCTGGATAATAGGGAATCAACCTGTATCTGTATTTATTCTATCTATATTTTATAATTAATTATTTTACTTTGAATTATTATTTTTAATGAAACAAATTTTATTTTTCAATTTGAATGCCCTGATTAAGGTAATAGAGTACTGTACTGTACTGTGTTAACAGAAAATTTTGGTTTAATTTTTTATGGCTGGGGAGGCAATGTAACCTCGGTTGCTGAAGCCCCATCCAAAATTCACTACCACTCATTAACAGTCAAGAATTATGCCAATATCTCCTAAGTGATGATATTTGGAATGTTTACTCATGCAGGTCATTTCATACCATATTATATATTGGCAGGAACCAAGAACATAATCTCTCCTTTCATTTGGTGTCACTCATTCACTCTCACAGCTGTAACACATGTATTCTACCAAGGTGTTCCCCTCGCTCAACAAACTCCTATGTACAGTACAAGTTCAATAATCTGTCACCCGGGAGGGAGAGATGGAGGTGCCGACCCGTCAGATACACCGGTCACTTTATTTTCACTTGTATGAGATACTGTATACTGTATTGTACACTACAGTAGATCATATAGTTTTCTTGCATATTGTAAAGTCAAATAAATAATAGAATGTGCAATGGTATAATGATAATTACGTTGGATACAGTAAAATTGTCTCGTCACTTTTTCATGTCGGACTAATGGACTTTCGCTGTATCTGTCGGTTTTACCCAAGTTACTTCACACAACTTAGTATCACCATCACCACTGCATAACATGAATGATGTTTAGAGGAATATTGGGGTAAAATATGCCAGGTTATGATTTTTTTTAAACAACTAAAGGATGATGGCCGTAGAATGTGTTAATCTCTGATGTGTTGCTCCTTTTTACCCAGATCAGATAACTTCACTTAACAATACATAACAAGTTTAATTTTTAACGAGTGTATGAAGTTGATGATGTGTTTTAAAACTTGTATCTTGTGCCCAAGTTTTATTATAGTTTTGATTCACAGGTACCAATTGTTAAAGCCACCGATGATACCACAGTTGGTCGTCTCCTCCGAGAGTCACAGACTATTACAGATTTGGCTCAGGTCAGAAAATAATAGTACTGTATTATGTATCAAATAGGATTTAGATTTTTCATTACATCCATTAGGGTATTATGTACAGTAAATATGAGAGAGAAGTTCAGCACCTGATGGTGGACTTTTTAGATTTTTAATTAAATAAAGGTGATTAACCTCTAGTGATTTTGAATAAATGAGTGATTTATATTATTTTAATTTTGCTTTTTAAACCTAATAAGATTTTTATTTTATTTATATCGTAGTTTCAAATGAGTTCAGTTTTTGGCGTCAATTGCCCATCGGCTGCGGCGCCAGATATTTTGCTCAATCAATCAAACAACCTCCACTTTTAATTCAAACACTGAGATTTTAGAGGGACTATTTTTCAATAGATTTCTATGTTATAAAATGGGATTGTTTAATTCTGGTCCTAAATGATTTTTGTTTTACTATTACAGGATGGTGACAGTGATGACCGTGGCTTGTTGGAGAAGATAACTGCTCATGCAGATATATGCAAGTGCAACCCATGTCGATGTGACCCCTTAAGAGGTAATGAATGCTCATGTAATGCCATTGCTGATGCAGAATCACCTCTAGGCACAAGTTCACCACAGATTGTATCTGGAGATTCCACCTCAAATCCTGTGCCTACATCACCTCTCACTATATCTCAGACTTCAAAAGAAAATGAACTTTTCCAGGAATCTGGCCTTGAAACTCCAATAAATACATCTTCCAGTCAGTTGCAAAGTGTTTTTGATGTGAAATCTGAAGAGGTCAGTAAATATTCGGCAAATACCAAAGAGCGTGTAACCCCGTCATCGTTGTTAGTTACGGACTCGGTACGCTCTGATTGTCCCACAGAAGTATTAGCTGCTCCTGATGTTATAGATCATGCGAGGTCACTTGAAACCCCAGATCGTCAAATTTCCGTGGAAGAATTTCTACGTGAAACGGTTGGCCTCAACTCAACTACGGCAAATAACCCTCAAGAATCACGTAGGTCTGTACAGTCAAGTTTAGAATCTTTACTCCCAGGGCCTTCAGGGCGACACAGCTCAGCCTCTGCTTTTCCAGGGTTAGCGAACTTAGATGATATGAGCACTTTAGCCTCCCCTTCAATGGAAGATCTCATTGTATCCCCACTGTCTCATGGGGCTGTGTTCGGTGCATCAGACAAGTGTGCAGTAGGTGGGATCAATCCCTCTGGGGGACTAAATAGTGATAGCACATCCATGGATCACACATTTGATGTGGACATGACTACATCAGATTTATCAACAGACTTCCCTTTTTCTTCTCCTAATATGATAGAGGCTTTGCTTACAGATGACATAGGGAGTCTGTCTACACTGTCCTCCCACCACTCTATCACTACTAGCAACTCTGCTCATACTTTTGCTACCACTGTTACACCATCAGCTGCCAGTGCTGTTACTCCCTCTGTTACAACACATGCCACACAACTGGTGCAACATACTCAACCATCAACATCATCAGGAGATACATCGTCCACTAATGCTATGAACTCTACTAGTTCAAAGCCATCATCTTCATCTTGCTGTGGGTATTTTGATGTTCAGAAGGAGCAGCAACATCAGGTGACATCTCAGGAATGTTGTAGGCAGTGGACTAAAACTAAGTCTTGTTGCTCGACCCCGACCCCCCAGTCACGTAGCTGCTGTACGCCACCATCCACTCAAGTGTCCTCAGGTTGCTGCACCTCAAACCCGCTGGGAAACAGTTGGTGTGGATCATCATCAACACAATCTCTCATAGCCTCACTTTCTTGTTCTTCACATATAGAAACAATGTCATCAGGCTCCTGCTGCTCAAATAAAGCAAACTCACCATCTCATTCCAGCAGTACAGCCACAAAATCACCCTTGTCCACTCCAGATCTCAGTAATCATCAAGCATCAACCTCTCACAATATTCAGCAATCACGACTCCAGATGTCTTCATCATGTAGTGCCCAGCATCACACCACTGTAGGTGGAGACCTCTCATCATCTCATGATTCTCATCACCATCGCCAAGATCATCACCACTCAGATCACCACTCCCAAGATCACCATCACCAAGATCATCACCACCCCCAAGATCATCACCACCCCCAAGATCATCACCACCCCCAAGATAATCCCCACCAAAATCATCACCGTACAGATCACCACCACCAAGATCATCATCACTCAGATCACCACCACCTCTCTCAATCAGAACACAAACATGACCGCCAACACCTTATTTCTAAAACTGAACACCAACATGACCATTCTCAATCAGAATGCCATCACCACCACTCAGAACCTAAACAGCATCATCATCACTCAGACTCAGAGCAGCAACACCTCCATCCAGAGACCGAGCACCAGTCCCATCACACTAAAGCCGAGCATCACCACCACCTCCACTCAGACCCCGGTCATCAACAACAATTTCACGGGAACTTTGGAGGCGGCTCAGAATCCCGAACAAGTGATGCTCGTCACAATTCTGGGTTAGATTTAGTACTGAGGAAGGACGATGATGATTCTTGTTGTGTTGTCATTTGCACCAACAAATTACAAATGCTCAGGAATGTACTTGCCAAATGTGAGTGTACAGATCATGAGCGCTCAGCTGGTCCTGTGGACTTACAGGCTCTGTTGAATGATGCCTTGATGGAATGGGAAACTTCAGACCCCAGTGGAGCACAGTCCTTCAACGGCACCCACCAGACTACACACAATCCACAAGCCAGTGATGCCACTTTAAGTTGGCAGTAGCATATCTGTTGAGTGTGTGTTTTTGTCTTGTAGAACATTCACTTTATAAAATAACTACAGGACTGCTGTGGTTTCAGAAATTTGGTTTTGGTACCTGGTAAGTGTTTCTGCGGCAAGACAGCTTAACCATGTGCTGGATTGTTCATGGCACCGGAGATGTAAGATAAAGGTAATTGTCAAAAGTATAAAAAGGGGATAATTTTATACTCACTTTGTCATTGCATATGTGATAAACTACTAAATGATAGAATATTTCACTGTTTAAAAAGTTCTAAGTTTTATTACACATTTATTACATGATAGAATATCCAATTGATCTTGAAAAAAATCTAAACAGAGGTTGTTTTTAAATTAATTAACTTAAATGACTACAGTATACATATATACAATGTAAGTTCATATTTACCCTATCTTAAAAGGCAGTGTGATGTAAGACTTATTTTAATGCCTGCATAATGCTTCTATTTTGTCAAAGTTTATCTGTGATCAATATTTGTGCAATTTTGTACAGAGATTTTATATAAAAACTTTATTGAGTTATGTGTTAAGAGGGAACAGTACAGTACTATATTACAATGATTATTTAAGGCTGTTTAAGAAATGAGGAAGCTTCTGAGTGACATTTTTAAAATTATAGACTGAATTAGAAAGTAGACCTGGCCTATTACCCCAGCAACTAGCTTTAAACTGGTATATGGCTATGATCTGTTATAACAGGGTGAGTCCATTTACTGTACATATAGTACTGGCAGGCCCCAGTTTATGAAAGGGTTCCATTCCTGATATACCTTTCAAAAATTAATATTTCATAAAACAATGCTCATTTTCCCATTGACTCCCATTATAAAAGCTGAGAAATGTTCCCACAAAAATAATTCCACAAAATGCCACTAAATGCTACAAAACATGTATTCGGTGAAAATGTTTTGTCTTTACAGTGATTTTACAGTATAAACTGTATTTAATATAATTATTTTTATCATTTCACCACTTATCAATTTACTAGCTGTACAGGCAGTTGGTTTTATTATGAATTAATATTTTATTCTTTCCACTGATTCATGATGAAAAAAGAACATTGAGTAAGTAAGCATCTTACATGTAAAAATAAATACATTATTTTAGTACATTTTCATTATAACTGCAATTTTTTTTTCTCATAACTAAGGAATTTTTGTTCATAAATCAATGTCAGGTAAAAAAAAATAATAATTTCAAATACAGTTCAGTATTCATAAACTGAAGCCTCATAAATTGAAGACTACCTATAGTCTATGCCTATGGTGTTGCAAACCCAGGTCTCAGGATCTCTGACATTTATGTAAATTACTTAATGAGCACCCATTAAAGGTGGCCTTGCTGAGGGAAGGAGGCCAGTGGCCTGTTAATGATCCACACATTGTTCTTGATACTTTTGTCCAGGACTATTTTGAAGCGCGGTATTGTTCTTGATTCCACAGCTTGGGCTGGTAGACTTTTGCATAGGTCTACCATCCTCTGTGTGAAGAAGTATTTCTTGCATGACACCTTTGCGAACTTTAAACAGTGCTTGCTCATGTTGGTGGCATGTGACATCATGAAAAATTGGCCTGGGTTTACAGTTTTCATCCCTTTGAATGGTATGCTAGCTGGGGGCAAGATTCCAATGCCTGTACTGTATATGGTAGTCCAGATGGGTAAATATGAGATACAGCACAGCAATACTTATAAAGATGAAGGAGCTATTCTTATACAGTATTTGTATTTGAAGGTACGACTTATCATTCCTAACATTCAGTTGGCTTTTTTTTTACCATTGCTCCTGTTTGTTGTGCTGCCTTAAGCTAGTGATCTATTACAACACTTAGATCTTTTTCCTTATCAACAATATCCAGGAAAGTGTTATTCATAGAATAATTGTGACTAGGGCTGCTGTAACCCACATGCAGTCTTACATTATGTAATGTAATACATTTACCAATCTTGTAGCCATTTGACCAGTTCATGCAGATCTTTTTGCATGGTTATGACATCTTGACTTCCCATCTTCCCAAGTACAGTACTTTACAATAAACCCTCCCAACACCTGACTAATTTGTGCAAGCCCTGTCTATTATTAGGAAGATTCCCTTGATGGAAGGTTCCATTTTCTTCCATTCTCATCCATCAAAATACACATCTTATTTGGTAATGAATATTATACAGTATAAATAGAAATTCCTTTTACCTTAATTATGGGGGTTCAGTACTTTGGTACTCTTCTTTATACGCTGGCCTGGCATAAATGTGGTAATGTTTCACGGGATAATGCCAAACAACACACTGAACATATCGGAAAGATTCATTTGGACAAATGGTTATAAGTTAGCAAAGGAAACAAGGGGTCAGAGAGACAACATTGCTGCTGATGTTTCGTTGCGAAGGATTCCTTTGAAAGAAATCCTTCATGGTGAGACATCAGGAGTAAAATTCTTTGACCCCATGTTTCCTTGGTCATGGCAAGTGCCTTGTTTATTGTGGATGTTGCCCTTTCAAACACTCTTATCTTAAAGTTGATGGAACTTGTTGTAACAGAGCATACTGGACAGTGAATGTAGCTTGAAGCTTGTGAGTTAAGGTTAGGAGTCTACCTATCCTTACTATAGCTGGGAATTTACAGTCATATTTATTATTAGCGTATTATATAATCTGTGTAACATCAGATTATCCATTATATTATATATTAAGATAATCCCACACAATTGTATTATGCCTGCAGGATAGGTAGGTGCAGGTCTGTACTTCCTGGGAGGATGTGTGTTTTTACCATTTTAGGAAATGCACTCATTGAATTTCACAAGTGGTTCACTAGTTGACCTTGTATCTCAATAATGCTTACTTGTTAAGTTTTATAATTTTACAGTACCTGTAGAGGATTTGAAAATCTCCATTATGAAAACTCTCTTCCTCATAGGCTCAAAGAGGATAAGCTGATATCTGAGCTTCAAGCACTAAGGAGGGGGATTATTTCTGTGTCTGCTGCATTACTTTAACAGTATACCCCGGTCTTATCCCCAGTTTGAAGATCTTAACAAAGAAGCAGATGCCTGTGCACCTTATTTCTAGCTGGCTTTGAGTTATTGAAGCTGCCTGAGGTGGTCACAAACCATAAATTGGGGATTGACCCTGAAAGTTCCACTTTTAGCAGGGCAGATATCAGGTAAGTTACTCTCCATCTCATCTCTTGGGAATGTTTGAGTAAACTGGAAACTGAAGTAGGTCATCCTGCTTTACTTGGCTATTATCTTGTAGCAATCCTGTTAGTGTAGTGATGAGACCCTTTGCCCTTAAGTTGCAGTCAGGGAGGAATAATAGTTTTCTTTTTGAATTAGCTCTTTAAGATAAGTTGTAATTTCACAACAGACACATATGTCAACAGATCTGAGACCTGGGCTATCAGCCCCACTCACTATATTGTACTATAATTGGAGTTGCACAATATGTGATCAATAATAAACTGGGATTTCAAGATCAATCCCTCATTAATGTGATCTGGTACAGTTCTTGCTGTCATGTTGTCATAATGATGGTGACAACTGATGGAGAGATATTTCCATTTCTGCTATAAACAGAAAATATGGCTTACATGTACTGGAATTTTTCAATATTGGAAATCTTTTCTTGTTGTGAAGAAAATATACAATTATGAAAATATGTATATATATTTTTTATTTTTTTTGTGTAAGTGTTAAAAATAAATAATTGACTCCACTATTACACAGTGAATCTTGAAGTAGGTTTATAATACAGTAAAGTCAAGTGGTATTGTGTGGCAAAATAAGATTGAAACAAGATCTATTATTTATGATAAACAATGAAGTCTGTATTGGGAGCACCACAGTATCTTTACCTTGTGTCAGGATACATAAAATGACACATCATAAACTCTGGTGTCAAAATACTGTAACTGAAGTACTATACTGTATTAGGTGATTGGTCAAATGGGCATCACTAATAATAGACCCCCAACCTAACCTTACAGTTAAAATTCTGGCATAACAGTGATGGGTGTCAGTCCTAATAGTCCCTAGTCTTATTGGTGGCCTGAATTTATTTGTTAAGTCATGTTGAGGTCTATTAGGGCTTGAGCTGCACAGACTTGCACCTCAAATATAGTGATTGTATTTGTGTGAAGGTTCAGGTTAAGTTATTTTCTTGTGCATAAAACACACTTGGAGTTGCTGATATGTGTGGGATCTTCCCTGTTGAATCTCCAGCCCAAACCAATAGAGTACATATTTTTGTTCTTCAAGATACTGACATTTTTACCTTGTATGTGCTGTAATATAAGTACTGTACTGTATGAACATTTTTTTGTATATTTTATATATTAAATATTTCCCCCTGTGTTTCTGCTGTCTACAGTATTCACATGTTGAGTAGTGACAGTTTTAATCCCTTGCTGCTTATACAGTGAAGAGGTACAGTGATATGTGCCAGTCTTCCCATGTATACAGTATCTCAAAAAACTATCTGTCCATTCTGTATGAAACAGTATGAGACCACGGATGATAGGTATTGGGATATGCACGTTCCTGCCCTGTATAGTTTCACATAATGCAATGTGTATTTGTTTCGGCGTAATTAATATGATGTTCAGTTACCAAATGTAGTAGGATCGGTATGCCACAGAGCCACACATACCAACCCTCCCGGGACATCACGAGTTGCATGTAGCATTTCGGAAGTCATCGGACCTATCCTGGCAGATACTGTTTGACATATTGTAACCCCCCCCCCCCCTCCTCTGCTTAAGTTTTAGCAGGGTTACACATCACATACAGTATGCTCTGGAGAACAATATTATTTAAGCTTCTTTGTATGTTTCTTTTGTTCATCTGATTCAAACTCAAGATGTTATACTTTATTCCCCATTTATTTTGTAGTTCTAACGTGGTGCTGTTTGTGGTAGCGTATGCGTTTTACAGACACTTATGAGACAGAATGGCTTAGACTTTACTGTACACAGTTTAGTAGATTTTCCAAGCTCCATTCATCGTAAGAGGTGCATAATAATTTTACTTTCTTCCATATTCAGTACCTGCTCTAGTATTTACAGTATTTTGTCTTTAGTATATCTGTATTGTACTCACTGAAACTCACTTTAACTTTCATTTCATTGTACAGTACCTTACTTTTTAATGCAAGCAATTGGCAACTGACCGAGTAGCCAAGATCATTAATAACAGTTAGGGAGATAACAAAGCGTAAGGACTTGATCAAGCTCATCATAATGTTACAACTAGAAGAAAAGTTAAGAAAGTTTTAAAAAGATAGGTTTAGTATTTATTAATCTACATTAGTGACAATTATAGCAATGGATAACTTCACTTACCCAACATCCACAGGTTATAAGAATTTTAACAAAGCCACATCTACAGTACTATAAATGACATGGGCTTATACGATTATTTTTGAATTAAATTAAAGTTTCATACTACTGTACCATTGATATAACACAAGTTTATTGAATTTACAGCTGCTTGTAGTGACATATGTTATGGTCGTATAATTAACATCTAAATAGAAGAGAGTGAATGCATCAGGCCTTTTAGAACACTTCAGTAACTTCACTCATGTTTGACTAAAATTATTTATGATTCTTGTGTTACAGTAGCTAATAGAAATGAATGAGATGACAAGTACTGTGCGGCTCATGTGACTGCTACACACTCTTCATTGCTACTGTGGGTTGGAGCATTACTTTTATGAAACCTTGCCACAGTTGTTAGCTTACAGTTTTATACACCTGCAGAATTTTAGTCAGCACAGTATAGCATTGTTATCATGTGTCCGTAAACTTTTGGTTTTTGTGCCCTCAGTTTAGTTTACACGGAACAATTTTTTTTCTTCATATTTTATGGTACAGTAATATTACTTATGACACAAAAGATCTTGTTGCATTTTGATGTGTTTATATCTTACAGTTTCTGGATTGTGCCCTTAAGTATACATGAAAAATTCCAGCCAATTGAGACTATGTTGTGTAGCTGTAGTCAGAGCTTTTTATTTTATTTTCTTGCTTTCAGGTGAGCTCCTGCAAATTGTTTACTTTTTGTTACCTCCACATAACTTAGCTGAGCTTGTGTACTGTACCTCACTTGTTGTGTGTTACCCAAGTATGTATTTACAGTACCTGTATTTAATTACGAAACCTTTCACCATTCCTTCCATCGTCTTCACACACACTTGACTGCTCTGAAACACAGCTGTCATTGAGTGGATGTGTCTATGTTTGGTTTTCTTTTACAGGGTATGTATCATTTTCTCCCAATTGTGTGCCTTCATACATTCCAAATTCCATTAGCACTTATTAAGTTATTTTACAATTTCTGTTGTTCTTACACAGTATAATTCTAAATTGAATTTACACATGATCTGGAGGTTTGTAAAACTAATTGTTGGCTAGAAATGAGTTTCAGACAGCATTCAAGACTTCTTACACAGCACTGTGTTGATGTTTTAACTTTTATGATCATTATAGTAAAGCGTTATTGTCATAAATATCAAACTTGAGGAAAGAGAAATCAATGCTGAACTTACAGTTGTTAAAGCTACTTGATAATCTTTAATTTTCATTCTTGTAAGCCTTGTGCTGTCATGCAGGGTGGCTGGTGTCTACAATAAGTTTTTTCTGCTGCAATATTTGTGTTTTGTTATGGTGTTTTATTTCCATGGCAAGTAACACCCCAGCATATCAGCACCTAGTATCACCCATCACCTGTACACTCTTCAAATAATCAGTTTTTATTTTAATTGGTCATATAATTAGGGATGAGGGGATAATAACAGATATATTAAAGGACAAAGTTGAGGGTAGGAGGGCCAGGGGAAATTAGGGACTAGGATGGATGAATTAAATTAAAAACTTGGTCCCCAGAGAGATACAAAACCTAAGAGGGTTGGTAAAAACAGCCCGAGAACGTTTAGAGTGGAGGACTGTAGTCACCAACCCTCAGGTATGAGGACAGTACTCTGATTGATTGATTGAATGATATTGATTGATGTTTTTGGCCAGTAGGTATGTACTGTACTGTACTCTGTAACTCATTGTAATACAGGGTATAGGTTGTTAACCATAATCACGTAGAAACTGTAGGTTTCTTCTTGACAACGTTCATCATCTGATAATCTCTTCGTAAAATTTCCTCTTCACTCATTTCAGAAAAGTGCGCTGTAATATTTTTGGGGGGAGGATATCATATTCTGAGTTTAACTCCCCTAATTTTACATTGTTTTAAGTTGTACTGAAATATAATATTGTACTGTGTGTGTGATGACAGTGCTTGTTAACAATTCACATCAATCTTATTAAGACATTCCTTATTTACTGTGGTGAAGTGCAGCTTTATGTGTCCCCACAGGTTATTTTATTCAGTACATTTGTTGAAAAATATGGACAGTACTTAAAGACATACAGGGTGAGAAAAGGTTCTATTTACAGGAAAATACAGTACACATCATTTGGTTCTGAAGATAAATTTATTTCCTGGTGGGTCAGTAATTTTAATGTGCTTTCCATTGAGTCAACTTCTTGTTAAAACTCAGTATGTTGTTTGAAGTTACAGCACCTGAAGTGACTACAGTAAAGAGAATACAGGTATTGAAATTACAGAGAGAGAGTGGATGTTGAGGGCTAATGGATGGTGTTCTGACAGTTTACATGCATGCCAAGTCTCTCTCTCTCTCGTTATGACACTGCACTTCTGTATTTTCAGTTTTGATGATATAATATGGCCAATTAGGAATTACTGTAGTTGCCTTTCCTTTTCTTTTTTTCCTCACCAGGATTTGTAAGTGATAATAAACATTAAGGTAGTTCAGACATGGGTAAATAAGGTGTACCTTCACTCAGGCCCTACTCTGGTATGGGGGACCAAGAGGTAGAGGAGGGTAAAATAAGATAACGTTTACAAGACCTGTGTAGAAAGCAAGAGGAAAAAGTTAGACACATATACAGTATAGTAACTTGCTCATATCCTCAACTTACACATACTGTATAGTGTAGTGTGGATTCATCAGGGATAAGATGTTTAGAGTAGTTCAGAAGGTAGTGAAACCTTCTTCAGTACTCACTGACTGTGCCAAATATGGTGTTTTATACTGCATGTCTTATAAAATTCCTTGAATTTTAAATGGTGCAATGCCAAATGTGAAAAATGCAGAACGTTTGTATGTATGTACAGTACAGTAATGTGTCATTCTGATTTAATGATTTTTTATCAGTAACAAAATGTTTTGTTTGTGTTATGACATGTTTGTGTACTGCTTATATTATTTCAGTGTATTAACTTGTATCAAGGAGAAACATAACTCTGAATTAGACTTGTCTTATATAAATTTATTATGTTTTTTGTTATACATATTTTATTTGCTTGTATAAGGAAGCAGCATAATGCTTCCTGGAAGATTAAATATATGAAATGCATATTTCTCATCATATATTTCTGTGTAACAACTTTCTTTCAGGACATGGAGAGAGCCCCATGTTGCCTTGGTGTCATGTTTCATCTAATTGCTCCATTATAATTGAACAGTTTACATTGAGTCATTTTATATTGTGTGTGTGTGTGTGGTACGCTGAACTTGTGTCACACTGTAGAGTTGTGATGTGTGGTGCACTTCACCTATGACTCTCTGTTTAAAATGGAAAATTTACAGACATCTGATAGACTAATAGATTTGCAGAGAAGGTACACAAACTATGGAGAGACTTCCCTTTCTACAGACATAAGACAGACTTAACTACTGTAGAAGCTTCCCAGACATCTGTTAAATAGAAAATTTTTAGACATTTGGGAACACTTAAATAAAAGCTTCACATTCATTAACAGACTTTGGATACCAGTGAGCAATAAATAAAAGCTTTACAGACATCTGAGACTTTTGAAGGTCTACAGCCACACAAGAGACATCAGAAGTGTATGGACGAGTTGTAAAAGGGATTTAGACAAATGGTTCACAGACACCTGCCACACTCAGAAGACCCACACTGTCCACACTGACACCTGAGAGAATTAGACACATGAATCATGAACCTCCAAGAGAGGAAAAATATCCCAGATACTGTATTGGTATTTACTCATGCAGCGACTTGTTCACGCTGCAGTGCGGACATTTACTTTAACTGTGAATGTAGTTTATTGTTGTATATTACAACTTTCATTATATAAATAATTACCTGTATTACTTGAAGAAAAGATAAAGTAAAAATTTTACCTTATAAAAGACATGAACTTTTGGACATTGTGATGTATATAAGTATATACAATGTTATGTTTAATATATTTGAATATATAAATCCTTTGAATATCTTGTGTTTTTTTTTTGTGTATTTTTCCATTCATACAGCTGTTTCACATGTGTTGAAACTGGGGGAACCACTGTGTCACATAAAAGAAATATGGCTTTATACATTGTTAGGTTGGAAAGGCCATACTTGATCAGAAAGTAAAAAAATCCTTTTGTTTGTATGATCTGCTATGCTGGAAATGCCACCTCCATCACTAAATAGCCGTACTTATCCTCTTTGCCAATTGTCAGAATGACTAACCGTGCAGGTCAGTCACTAATCTGTTGTACAATGTTGACAGAAACCGGGTATGTACAGGCTATTGAATATACCTGAACATGTGCCAATGATCATTAAGCCTGTGCTGTAGGTAAGAACTAGGCATGTACAGTAGCTAAAACAACTATCTGTGCATACTTTGTGGGGAAACAATATGAGACCATGGACAATAAATTTTTGTATATGAGGGCTGTCACTAGTCACACGTAAAATTTCGGGGGATATCGACCCCCACCTGCACAGATAGTTGTTTTAGCTACTGTACGGTACAAGCTCTAGAATGTGTCTTATGTTTCACTGGGTAAAGTGTGTATTAATAGGAGATCATACTTGGTGGTGTCACAAAATTACCTGGCAGGTAATAACTACTACAATACTGTACTATTCACAAATCTTTAAATAAGCTTCAGTACTTGAAACAATAAAAGAAAACAAGAATATGTAAATAGATTATCATTCTATTTATCTGCATCAATATGGGTTGGTATGTACATAATAGTGTATGTGTACAGTATATTCTTGAATGAACGAATGTACATGTATGTGTGTGCATTTGTTTGTATGTATGTGTTCGGGCTCATGATTGTGTAAATCTACATGCGTGTGTATGGTTTTAAGGTGCTGTACTATAGTCTTCGAGTACACACCAGACATGCCCCCAGTATAAACAGTGATGCTTTCTCCATGATACAGTTGCCTGCATGTAACAATAATTAAAAAAAAAATATATATATATATATAGTGATAGTGATAGTGAGGATATGGACTTATATGGACTTTGTGGGTTTGACAAAGAGGCCCTGCAAGCCTATGTGGTGGATAGTGATACAGGTGAGGGCCAATAATCTGCCCTCTGCCTCGGAACCAACCCCCCATCCCCGTGTGCCCAGCCGTCTTTTCTACTAATGTAAGTGTTAAAAAACCTAATATTATTGATATTTCTCTTAATTGTTAATTGTGTGTGCATACCATCATAAAATTAAGATGTTATTTTTACTACAACATAGGTATTGTGTCTGAAAAAGTGGAGTTTGGGGGTCGGGCCAGTCTCCATTGGAATTAATTCCATATGTTCTGTTGTTCACTTTACACGGTTTTCACTTTCCGCGGTACCCCATGAATCACAATACATTTTGTAAAACGGATAAAACCTAAATGGTACTCACATTATACCCCGCCATACGAGATGACACCCACACTTAACTATCTCCAAAACCAGACTGGCATTTTTCAAACTGTGTCGCCCACAAAGGGATACCACCTCATGACATCTCGTCTCACAGGTTTTCTTATTGGTTCAGGCCTAAGGCATTCACTCAAAGGTCCCTGCTATTGGCTCGAACCCTCAGGCAGGAAACACTCATGACGTTAATACGTGTACTGTACTTATACCTGGGACAGTGGCTGGCACATTTTGTGAGATGTGGCAACTCTTGTTTACATCATATTAAAACTACCAGAAAGGCCCTAAAGGAACCTCATAATAGTAGCCAGACTATAAGGATGCAAGATAAGCATTCCACGGTTGCCACATCTCACAAAGTGTGCCAGCCATTGTCCCAGGTATAAGTGCAAGCAACTGTACCAGACCTTCATCACTATAACCAGATAATGGTGGTCAGATGTGGAATGCCACACTGCCTACAAAGAAAAGGAAATGAATCAAAGTGAAGAGGGGAATTAATGTTGAAGAAAATGTTATCTGCATGTGAAGGAACTAATCAATATGTGAAGCAAATAGATTAAATATTTAAAGAAAATGAATCGATGTTAAGAAAATAGAATTAACATGCGAAGGGAAATTGATTTTTATGTGAAGTCATGAATCAACATGTAAAGAATTGGAACTAACCCTTGAAGATAATGACATCAACATTGAACTATGAAGCAAATGACATCATGTAAAGGCAATGGAATCAGCATTTGAAGAAACAATCATGAAGACATTAAATCTGTGTATTTAAGAAAATTACACCATAGGGAAATACAGGGTGTCCATAAATGATTCCCCTAAAAACAGTGGTAGACCATGCTTTAATCGGGGTAATCATTTATGGACACCCTGTATTTACCGTACTCACTATGTGAAGTAATAGACAAATATATGAAGAAATCAGGTCAATTTGTGAAAAATGGGTAAAATTGTGAAGAAACAAGACAACAGGTGAAGAAATGGATCCTCGTGTGAAGAAACGAGTCTGCATGACCAAAACGTCTCTTGCAGGTCTCATGGGCATGTCACAACACAGTGATAGATAGATAGATATTTGTTCAGAAAAATCTTCATATAAGTTCACATTGATTCAATATGAATATAGACAAGATGGTGAGATTTATTCGTGGCATGAATACAAGCGACCGCATTGGTAACGAAGTCTTACAATGACATGTACAGTGCTGCGGATTGAGTGAAGCAATTGAGGCTGAATCACGCTTATAGGAACCGGCGGGACTCAGAAGGAAGTGAGCACAATTTTATGCATTGTAGTGGTCAAGCGAAAAACACTTCTTTACAGCTATTAACTTGGGAGGGATAACATCTAATGCACAAATAAGGACAAAGAACCAACAGAATGGTCATAGTGACTGACATGCAAGGTAAGGTGGGATGGGTGCTTAGGATAGTAGATAGTGTCGGCAGACCCCCCACCTTTTTATTTTTCATCAGAAAATTCCAATACGCAGTGGTAGCTAGAGTGTGTGCCGCCGGGGCGGTTGAGTTGCCGTGCCCCCACAAAAAATACATATTGCACAGTGACTCACTCTTATATATATATATACAGTATATATATTAAATAGTTTGTGTACCATTATAATATTACTGTACTTTCACATACTCAAATATAGTATGCTTTAAATACACCCCAAACATACTTAAACTTTATAAGTAACAGTTAAACAAAAAGCAAAAACGACATATAGGATAGGGAAAAAAGTAAAAAAGTGTAAAAAATTAGGACCATCTTTATTTCTGAAATGAAAACTACAACTTTCTACAAAGTAACTTTTCTTGTTTTTTTTTTGGCAAATTCTTCAATGACATTGTCAAAAACTATTTCATCTGTCAATTGTCGCTCTATAGACAGTATGGCAAGATTTCTCAACCGCAAGGTGCTCATAGTAGATCTTAAGTAATTCTTGATCAGTTTTAGTTTCGAAAAACTCCTCTCACAGGTAGCAACACTAACAGCAATTGTGAGGAAAATCCTCAGCATTATTACTATATTTGGAACCGAGTTCCCAAGGTTATACTTTTGAATAAACTGCAAAAGTTCAAGGGGGCCTTCTTTCCACGTCTGTATGACCCGAGACTGCATGGTTTTGCAGCTACTGGAGACGTTAATCCTTCCCTTTGTATCGGCGGCAAGTTAATCCTCGTCGTGTCTGACCTAACACCTGACCCACACCACATGAGCTCACTGGCGTACTTGTTTGAAGTTGTTTCCTTAATCCTCAACAGGTTACAGGTTGTGTGTGTGGCGGGGGGCCTCATAGCAAGGGTGTAGCTCATGACGTGGCCGTGATGATGTGGGTCAGGTGTTAGGTCAGACACGACAAGGATTAACTTGCCGCCGATACAAAGGGATGGATTAACGTCTCCAGTAGCTGCAGATATGGGTGATGAGCAGACCCAAAAGTGCCGCCCCCCAAAAGTGCCGCCCGGGGCGGATCGCTCCCCCCGCCCCCCCCTAGCTACGCTAGTGAATTACTCTAGTTACAATAAAATCTCATACTTCACGGATGGAAGAGGCAGACTAGATACAGTACTGGTCAAAACAAAATGAAGAGAGAGATGTCGAAAAAAGAAAAATACGACTTAAACTACAATAAAAAAAATTAAATTGGAAACTAATTTCCGACTTAAAACACGTCATATATATATATATATATATATATATATATATATATATATATATATATATATATATATATATATATATATATATATATATATATATATATATATATGCTCACCTTGCGAGATGCTGAGTTCAAGGTCGTCTGAGGGAAGACTGCGCTCCTCACGTAGCGAGAGGTTGTGGAACTAGGCCTATATGATACTAAATGTAATTTACCGAATTAATATGGAGGCGAATTATGAAACGAAATATCAGTTATTAAATTAAAAGTAATGATAGATCGTTTATCAGTCTGAATAATGTTACGGGTGTCCCAAGAAAGTTATTAGTTAGGCGGAAAATATGTCACGTACTGTAGGACTAAGCTAACGCCTTGAGAAGACACGAGGCTGGCTAGTCATCAGTAGGGCCCGGATAGTTATGCATTTGCATATTTCATATGCAAATGCATATTTTGCGTGATTTCTATGATAAGTGCATATTACCTAGATAACTGCATATAAATGCATATTTTGGTAAAATATTCATCTGGCAGTATCTCTTTGTTGCCACTGAATGAGCACACGTGGTACTGGGAGGTGAGGTGTGGTTAGGTGAAGTGAGGTGAGGTCACGTCGCTTTAATCTGTCGTTTCCACACCTGGTCATGACTCATTGGACTAGTGAGTTAGTCAGTCAGGAGCAGTGCTGCTGTGTGGAGCTACTCTCTTCTGCACCAATCGTCTCGTGTGATGTAGAAAGGGTGTTCTCAGAATATAAAGCTATGCTGACAGACAACAGGCGGGGTTTTAACTTTGAGAACTTACGCCACCATGTCATCATCAAATGCAACCACAATCTGTAATGTCTGAAAATATGTCAGTCTATAATGTAAATACATGTTCATATATATTTTTGAAGCACTTTCACATATATATGTTAAATAAATTACGTATATTGCTTAATAAACATTAACATTAGTTTATATTAACTATTTTTAGTGCATATAAATGCATATTTCCCCGGTTTTCAGTGCATATTTGCATGCATATTTCATGGTTTTTTAGTGCATAACTATCCGGGCCCAACTTGTAACCAAGCTGCCTACCCAGAACCAAGCTGCATTGTACATCCAATACAATATGTATACAGAGAGCACATTGTGAGTATCCTTTCTTCAACCCATCCTGAGTGTGAACCAATATCTCATAACCCTGCAGGCTCGCGGTGCTTGCCATGCTCCCCCAGCCACAACTTCTTGGGTCCGCCCCTGAGTGTTGAAAAATACCTGAGAAAGGACCCCAAACTACCAGGCGACCTCACTAACTCTCACTATGGGACGTCACTTTTAATAATTAATTTGACTAACTTCAGGCAAATTTATTCAGCACATAGAGGTTAAAAAAGAAAGGACTTTTGTAAATATATTGAAATGTTAATGTATAAATACACAAATACAGTAGATTGATTTAGCGTTTATGTTAGTGACACTTTTCCAACTTTGTAAATATTGCCCACAGGTGTGAGAGTTGGTCGCCAAAGGCCACACCTGCAGGAGCACACGTGTAGGCAATTCTAAGGTGAACTTCCTTGCGGCCCGTAAACTGACAAGTGTTCATCAGTACGTCACATTTGATGTTCTTCGTCTATGTGAGATTGTAGGTCACCTGAAACGGCATACATTATTTATTTTACCAGTATTATTGTGGTTATGAGCACAAGACAATAAATCAATCTTAATGGCTCGTATCAGAACTTCAAATTTGACAAAATACTGTTTTGGGGGCCTATGTGTGTGTGTGTGTGTTTAAAGACGTTCACACACGAACCGAAAGCAATATTATGCCAACTTTGAACCCATAATGTGACTGTAAATTCTTTATGCATTTTTGTTGGCACTGACTTATAAACTCAATAATTATGATGTTAAAGGTTGGCAACTTGGCACTGACTCATAATAATATTCAATACAGTACTTACAAGTTATAACGTTGTAAGGCTGGTACGTGTCTGACTCAATTTACCAATAACTGTGACTGGAGGGAGTTTCCAAGAGAGGTGAGGGAATGATATTGGCAAATAATGATAAATTACATTTATTTAACCCACTATAATTCTATGTGCTCTTATCACTTCTGACCTTAAATTCTTGTGTAAATGCTTCAAACACGAAAACAAAAAAACCTAACAAAATCGATATATTTTTAAAATTATTTAATTTAATAATGTTCAAGCTTATTTTTTGGAAGGAAATTAATGAGACTTTTCTTCTTGGGTGGCAAGTGAATGAAGACCTGCAGACACAGGTGTTGTGTGACCTGTTTCATACAGATTTTATTTAATGTACTGAAACTTCCCAGCGATTTAAGAACAGGAGTACCCTACCCTGTATATATTATAACACCAGATGGAACCACAGTACAGTAATTATTAACTGACGTGTTAAGGGATAGCATTTAAAATACTTGTTTCAGAGTTATTTACACTTAGAGATGAGTAGTACAGTTATTTGCGTCAAGAAGACTGAAGAGAGGAATATAGTTGTTGGTAACAGCAGCCCGTCCCGTTATAATATTACAGTACTGTACCGAGTCCCGTTATAATACTACTGAGTCGTCCATGTAGTACAGTCAGCGCAGTTTGAGTGCCAATAAGCGCGAATACAGTACATGATATCTTATTTTCAGTAAAAGAGATTCTGCAGAGGAGATTTATATATAAGAAGAATCTAATTCCTCGTTACAAGATATTGGTAGTTGTGGCAAGGTTTGTGGTAGAGGTAGTAGCCACGTAACAGCTGATGGCAGTACACACTCTCAGCTGCTCAGTTTGTTTACCAGTGTAACATAGGACGCCAAAGAGAGAGGGTGTGCGCCTGCGTGCCTCGCTGTCCTCGATAACACGCACATAGTAAGTTCACTGTCATAGCCTCTCCCTGTTATAGTGAGCCTGTCGGGTGTAAGAATATAATCCTGACGAGAGAGATATAAGTTTTCTGTAAAAAAAAAGCGTGAAACTTGATAGAGTTACGTAGCGTGATCCAGCTGATGGTCTTCCTCGGCGAGTGCGTGTGGCCCGGTGAATGAAGGTATACCAGTGCCAAGGTGTACCATGTGGAGGCACACTCGTGGCACCCACTCGTGGCTAACATGGATATGATTCTCTGTAGCTTCCAGGATAACAGCTAAATCAGGGAGCAATACGGAGTGAAGGTGGGGGAGGAGTTGAGGTATTGATCTGAGTACAGTGGTGGCTGGGAGAGGCATGGGGCGTCATCATTTAAACACACACTCTAATGATTCTCGGCACTGATTTGAGCATTTACGAAGAATAAATTATAAATATTTGTTTCTTGCTCTAATATTGTTTTTTTTAATACACCTGGGGCGGTCGAGTATAACACTTGGGTATGTAGATGACTAAAATTTTGAGTGCGATCATAGACACGCAAACACGAGAGATTTATTAACATGAAGTGTATTTAAAAAAGGTTTAAAGGCCGAATGTTGTGTTAACTTCGAGGATGTAAGACATTTAATTGTGTACTTTGTGATTTGTGATGAGTGAAAAGGTTAAGGTGACATTCAAGAGGACCCAGACCAGAATCCGCACTCACTCACACACACACACGCACTCACTCACTCACTCACTCACTCGTAAAGGAGATGAACTTGTGAAACTACGAGGTACAGGTGATGTAATGCCTTAGATTTTACTGATAATACAAAGTGACAAGATTTTGTGAGTACTTTAACACTATTTAAGGTGATATATTGTTTATCTTATTGATAGGTGAACATGAACTAACATGATATTTTTATTTCTATAACATTATAATTGTGGTGACATTGTTTATATTATTGGTAGAGGAGCATAAGTAACATGATAAGATAGTTTTAGTTTGGTAACAATATTTATTTGAGGTGACATGTTGCCTTATGCTGTACTGGTAGATAAAGTGACATGATATTAATGAAACATTATGTTTGAGGTGACATACTGCTGTGATTATCTTACTAATACAGTAACAGAAAGTAATATTATATACTATGGTAACAATGTATATTTAAGGTCACTTGTTGCCAAATACTTCACTGATAAGGCAATGTAAAGTGACATGACCTTAATAATAACTACTGTAGTGTATAATTTGATTTTATAGGAATTTCTTGTCTAACAAAAATTATACAATACAGCTGGATATTTGAAGTGACATTATGTAATGGTTCAATTGGTTGATAGAAAAATGAAGCCTTATTAAGTAACATAGGTTTTATTCACTGATGAAACCAACTCAATCCTGTAATAGACGATACAGGATAAGCAAATGATATTACAGTTCATCAAAGCAACGACAGCATAACGATAGTGTTTCCTGTGCTGTAGCTGCATGATGTAAGAGCAGTAGTTTGACTAATGTTTATCTGTAATACTTTCCTGTGATCACCCCTGTATGGTACATTAGTCCTGGCTATGACATTTTTGTATGGTACAGTATGTATTCACTCGATGCTGTCCATTAATTATGTAAGACAGGACATATAGGATATAGCTATTAAGTATTATATGAGTGATGGTGAGCCACAATATTTAGTGTTATACTGTTTTGACAGTGTTGGTGGTACAGGGGTAATATCTCTCAGCAACATGTGAAGGGTACGAGTCCTGCTTGGACCGGACACAAGTGGGAAAGGTGTTATCTAGTGTGACCCTCACTACCAAACATCACAGGTTTCCTCCTTTATTAACACTGGACAGACTAACCACTTGAATGGCTACTAAACTGATAAGAGATGAAATGATAAAAACAGTGATTCTTGGGTGATACTGTTCTGTACATACTCTCCCAGTAGGTCTGTTTTCTTCTTATGTTTAACTATATCACCACATTTCTCCAGCACCTTCTCTCTGAGGGGTGAACACAACAGCAGGTCCTCCAGGCTTCGCTATTCTCATTATCCCCTGTCATGCTCTTTCCTTGATGCATTGTTCCATCTTTCCCTCCCATGGTGTGGGTGGTCTCCAGGCAAGGGTTCATTTTACAGGCTGTTTTGGCACTTTATACTTTTCTTATGCTGCTACCCATACCATCTTCTTCAGCCAAATTTCATATATATTTTGCATGGATGGAAATGTGATGAATGAAAGTAAGAATCAATAGACGGTACTGTACACTTTTATTCATTATTCAGTTTATACTTATTGATTATTTTATCTGAATATTGTATGTGGATGGAATATAATGAAGGATACATGTAAGACAAGTAACACGACACAAGGAAAAATACAAACCATTTAATAATAAATAATAATAATAATAATTAACGGTTTATTGAAAAAATTCTGCAGCCCGAAGGCTGAAAATATACATTGGACATAAATGACTTTTTACATACATTGGTGGTTTAACAAAAGCCTTCATTAGAGAAAGGTAAAGGAACATACAGTGAACATACAGATTAATGTAGGTGCTGAACAGCAAACTCGTAGTGTAGTAACTCCCTCCCAGATGGTGTTAGGAGGAACTCACGTGGTGTAGTAGTTCCCTCAGATGGTGTTATGAGGGACCTGGCGTGGTGTAGTAATTCCCTCACCTCACGTCCCTCACAGATGGTGTTATGAGGGACCTCATGTGGTGTAGTAATTACCTCACAGATGGTGTTATGAGGGGCCTGACGTGGTGTAGTAATTCCCTCACAGATGGTGTTATGAGGGACATGTGGTGTAGTAATTCCCTCACAGATGGTGTTATATGAGTGAGGTTTGGTCTTAGGCCTTCCTATCGTAGACGGATTAACACATCGCTGGTTGTTGTTGGGTCTCACGGGCCGTTATCACTGGGTACCTGGGGCCTCACTGTGTGAAGGTTAACTTGGGTACGACTGTTACTGTTGAGTTGTTCTCACTGACTTAAGCACTGTTCACCACTGTTCACCTCTGCTTAACACTGGTTCCGTTCCTTTCCTAAATGAAATTGTAACTTCTGGCGAGAACTTGTTGATATTCTGGTGGGGAGGAGGGTTCAGGGGAGGGGGTTGGTATGGGCCAACTCAACAGTTGACCTGGCTGCCCCGAGAGGAGCACCAGGTACGTCTTGACCCTTCGGTAGTCAAGGATGTACTGTGCTTTCCTACATGCACACTCACCTTCTGTTACATGTACAATATATTGTACATAGATAATGGAGTCAGTGCTGCCTGCTTGTTTACTTTCTTTTCTAATTTATTTTTTATTTCTAACATCTTAGGGACCTTGGGGCAGCTGTCCTGTTTGCTTTGCCTTTGATACATCTCTGACAGCATGTTTTATCCACACTGCCAATACTGGAAAATCATTGAAATTCATCAGTATTTGTTGTGGGAGTTAAGAAAAATATTAATCTTATTTTTTTTTTTTTTTTAGAACAGATGACCACTTTAAGTACATTACTGACTGTATGAACTTCACAAAGTTCAAATTAACCACCATTGAATTATATTTTATACTTGATTTTAGCAGGAATGAACCAGAGATTGGCATTGCTTACTGGTTGGTCACTTCCTGCTAAAATTAGACATAGTTCACTGATGTTTTAAATTGAAGGGGCATGCAACGTTACTCAGGCAAGGGTATACTCAACATAGCTATCTCAACTGAACCCTTATTTAGTACTTCAGAAAATTAAAACACTATATCTTAAACCTCTTTTCTAAACACAGATGAATATTAATGATTACAATATATTTTTTTTCGTCCAAAGGGTAAATCATTCCCCACAGAAATACGGGAGTGCAGGGAAAGTGTCAAATTACTCTTTTCCTCTCTCCTGTTTCATTCTTCCCACATGACCATCCCACATCATTGAATTTCCCTGCATTCACTCCACAGTCTACACCTGCCCTGTCTACCATATATATTTAATCTTTTTATTGAGTTGGTCAGTCTGTTCTTTGTTACGACCTTTATTGTCCAGTGTTAGCACAGTTCAGGAGGAAACCAGAGCACCCTGAGAAAATCTGCCATGTTTGGTAGGGTTACACTGGATAGTACCCTTCTCACATCCGACTTGGGGATTTGAACCCTTGACCACCGTAGTGAGAGGCAAGTGCTGGTAAACAGTTTCTGGAGATTGAATTTGTTATCCTTCTGCACCATTTCAAGTCAACCAGGTGTTTTATTACCTTAAGTCAAAGTAGGAGGCATTATTCTGTCTCGGAGTTGCTTCTACACCTGGAGGCTTACAGTCCTTCCCTTGATGATACTGTACTGTGCTCTCTACTCACCATGTTTTCTCCCTAACCTTAGTCTTCATGTATACTGTACTTGAAATTCTTAACCCTTGCAAGAAATTCCGTTTTTGTCTTGATTTTACATTTTAATTCTTGCAATACAGTTTATCAAAATCCACCATGTCATGCTCTGTGCTATTTCACACAGTACAGCACTTTATAATTACTTTAACCTTCCTAACATTTACATTCTGTTATCTTCTATCACAGACCCTGTTCAAGTTAAATGATCGTTCACCCACCATACTCACATGATTAATTCCCTTTAAGTCCAGATATTGAATATTAATCTTGGAAACCCATCCAAAACACTCTTGATGGTTTTTTGCATAAGGTAGGAACTATATTAAACTAGTTGTGAGTTTATAAAGTTACATTTTGTGATGATAATGGTTGACCTAATGACCCTGAAAGTATTCTATAAGTGAACATTTTTTGAAGATTTCCTCTACAGCTTTGTGATGTCTCGGTTAATTGTACTGTACCATATTTCACTCTAGTAGTGGTGCACCTTTAAAGTGTTAAGAGGTAGAAAGCTGTAGCTGCAGTGAGTTATGCTGGGGTGTGTGGGTGTCTAAGCCACCTGGCTCACATAAAGCCACAGGGTATAAAATCGTTAAGAGATGTACAATGAGCCAAAGAAACATAAATTGTGTTGCAGTGAAAATGAGATGTGATGAGAAATTAAAGATGGGGCTTATACTTGTACACTCCAAGTTCCCCACCTGAGCTATTAAATATCAGTGTAGATAGAACAGCTGACACATACCCCAGTGCTGTACAGTGTTGTGGGGCACAATTCTTTCCCTTAGATTTCTTTTATGTAATGTAAGTATTGACATTAATTTGGCTTCTAGTATAATGTAAAATGCCAGATTATCAACTCTATTCCTTTATCTTTATATTGAGAGGATCTCCTTCAACTTTGCCCTGTTGATACATTAAAACCTTAAGCATTAAAAACTAATGATGATAATTAATTTTATATCAGTGATCCTGATAAACTAGAGATGGCCATATCAGGTGACTTGATCAGAGGCTGCATTCTCAAAACACCTCATTAATTACATACAGTAGCAGTGTAAGGAGCACCTATTGTCTTGTTGGGGGTATCAGACAGCTCTCTTCTACTGTATACAATATACCGGTACCTATTTTGATTGACTCACTGGTGATTGAAACAAGTTTTAACCAGCCAATAAAGAGACAACTTATAAAAATACTGTAATAGAAATAATAAAAGTTGAATCTTTATTTATTGTGGGTTAAAATTATCTGCATATATCACCGACAAATGCTTGTACTATATCTGTTAAGAGTAGCCCATACCTCACTCAGGGCCCTTTGGTCTCCCATGCTGTGGACAACATACCAATAATGTACACAACATGTAGGAGGATACTCACCACTACCATGTATTACAGTGCAGGTACAGTACAGTCATGTAAGATAAGGAATTTCTGTTGGTACAGCAGAAATTACTGTGTCCTTGGTTCAATTCCCAACCTTGGTCAGATGTGAGAATGGGTTCTCTAGTGTGACTCTTACCAAACATGGAAGGTCTTCTCCAGGTACAGTACTCTGGCATCCTCCTGTACAACACTGGAGAATTAAAGTTGTAACTAAGAACAGACCAACTGCCTGAACATCAAGTAAGCTGATAAATGGTGAAATGATAAATTAAATTAAAATAATAAGTTAACACATGCCTCCTCCACCACCACCACCTCATCAGTATGTACATTTGATAATACAGTACAGTGTTGATTTTGTCATAGATAGGTGTACAGCACATTATAGTGATCATTGGGTATACAGGTGGCTAGGAAAGATTTATTGTGCTCTGTATCTATAATGTTGAAGTTTTAGTTAATTGTAAATTTCTTTAAACTGTATTCTGTGCAGGATGATTTTTAAAATCTTACAATACTATATCTACCCTTTAATATTTCAGTGTTTCTCATAAATTTGTACTGTTTACCTGTTACAGTTGACATCTAAAACAAATGGGAGAAGCAGACCTGCGTGGTGAACCCTCAGCTGCCACACTCCGATGACACCCCCCACCCACTGAGGAAAGGTGTTCGACTCTGTAGTACGCTGTATTCAGTAGATATTTTTACCTGTGATTATCTAGTCCATCATCTAGATATTGAGTAATAATCCTGGAAACACGTTCAGAACTCTCTTGGCTGTTTTGCACTTAAGGCGGGACCTACTACAGTATATGAAACTGCTGTAGTTGTGAATGTATATTGTTACATTTGATGGTAAATTATTATTACTGTATAGTGGGAGAAAATACTCAATGTAATAATTGTTTATACATAAGTGAAAAAGGGGTGTTAATTTAAAGGAATAGAAGAGATAATTTGCTTGGCATATGTACAGTACAAAATAAGGTTGAACATTGTACTGTATGTACTCAGATACAGAACTGTACTAATATTAAAAAAAGTGCAAGAATAACCTTTTGTGAAATTGCTGTGTAAGTAATGCTTTACACAATGTGTTATAAAAAATCTAAATGAAATTGTGAATGTTACAGTGCTTCTGAAGATGTGTATAAGTGAAGACTAAATGAAGGGAATTTTTAACTCAAACATTGGTACAGATTCTCTCAAGATATCCAGATAATTTATAAGAGTTGCAGATCATATGAACTTTTATCTTTACAAGTGAACAGTTGACACAAGTAAAGATGGCTATAACAGGTGAAGGAGAAGAGCCTATGGTGGAGGAGGGAGCCCAGTCAGTTATTATTCCCACCAGAAACACCAGCCAGGCGGAGGACAGTGTTGATGTTCCTTCCCCGGGCAGTAATGACACCCCAATGACTGAAATGTCAGCCATAGAGAATGGCCACGTGCAGTTGATGGTCGCAGACGAGCCAACACTAGCCGAGAAAGTTGCCATGGAAAATTATGATGTACCGGCTCACGTGTTGGCCTTTGTCCCACCGGATGGAGGCTGTCGGGCATGGCTAGTAATGTTTGCCTCCTTCCTGTGCAATGGTATTATATTCGGAACAATAAATTCAAGTGGATTACTTTATGCCGACCTTGTCAAAAAACTTCAAGATGCTGGGGACCCCAACGCTGCCTTCAAAACTTGTGAGTGTTGCCTTTTTTTCTGTTGTTATAGGACTTTAGTTATGGATCACTTTATGAAGACTGTACAGTACAGTACTTTATTTACCCGGCTTTATTCACTTTGCCAGTCATCAACTTACTAACTGGTCAGGTGGTTAATCAGTTCTGTTACACACTGTTGGCAAGTACTGGACATGTATGGGCTCATGAATATAACAGGTGTGGAGTTAAAGCTCACACTTGGTAATATCACAACCTTCTCTAGCAACACTACAACCTTCAAAAACATTTAAGTATGTGTAGGACATTGGTATAAATGCAACTAGTTCATTAGCATAATATATATTCTTCTCACAATGATTTGAGAACTTTAATTTGTTATTAACATAAAGACCCAGATCTTTCTCACATCTAGTTTCAGTTAGTGAAATGTGTTCATTATGTTGTGACGTGATACGCTTCCCTGCTATGAGTATGACCAATGTACAGTCAACTACAAAATTCCTGTTGGCTCTTCTGCTGTTCTACGAACTCCAAGATTCAGATTTGTGAATCCGATGCACTTATAGACAGTGTGTGTGTTGCTTTAGGTTCATGGAACAGCAGAAAAGACGACAGGACTTTTGTAGTTGACTGTACTGTTGGGGTCAAAAGTTCGCTCCCGGCCAAAAAAAGCAACGTCGACCCCAAGTTAGTTGAAACAGTACGGGTACTGATAAGTAAGTTCAGAGACTCATTCCCGTGACTCAGTTTCACCACGGGTAGTGAACTTTTGTCCCCGACTATACATTCTCCTACATTTTGCACTGTTTTGCAATCCATTTATCATTATCTTCAACATTTTACAGCCATTTTCTATGCTTACATGGATTATTCTTAAAATAACCTGGATGACTGAATGAGTGGCATGTGACTGTTTATGAAATAAACAAACAGTATCAGCACACCGTTCAACAAATAATTTTGTGCCTTTGACCACAACACATTGTTTAAGATCATAGATAAATACAGTAATATAATCTATGCTAGGACCCTCTCCTCAGTTCCATGTCCTTCTAATTTAATGTGAGGTACAGTGTCAAATGTCTCATTAAAATCAAAGTGGTTATTTATTTACAGTATTTTCAATACACTGTACAGTACAGTACAGTACAGTACAGTATTGTACTATCACCATATTCTTGGATGTGTCCACACCTTCAACACTTCTGGCAAATGTGCCAAGCAATAGGGTCCTGGCATAAATTTGTATTGCTATTCTTTCATGAGGCTATTTGGTTGCATATATATATATATATATATATATATATATATATATATATATATATATATATATATATATATATATATATATATATATATATATATATATATATATTACAGCACAGTAAAGTGTTGTAATGCTCTTTAGCAATTTACATACAATGCAGGTTAAACTCACTGGCCGGTAATTATATTCATGTAGTGGCAAATCACTTTGTTTTAATGTATACTACCTGTAGGATTCACGTGTACTGCACAGGCACTGTACTAATTCTTAGGCATTAGGTATATTTTTTAGGTAAATTGTTCAAAATTTAAGCTACTTTTGGATTGATTTAATGGATTTTAGCGATTTTTAATATGATGTTACTTTATTTAAGCTACTCTTGTGTCAGACTTGTGGATGACGGCGATTTTGGGGGGATAGGAATGGTTTTAAGTGAATTTTGGTTAACCTGAGTGAAATACTTCGAATTTTTATATGGGTAACATTAAAATTTAATCCGTGTTATGGTTGATTTTAGCGAATTTTATCAAAGATTGTGATTATCCCATTGAGTAAGTAGTACTGTAGTTTCTCTCAGCTGAATAAAATCGTGTGGCAATACATCGCTTTAAACGGTTAAAGAGAATGTGAGCTGGTCGATGCTTTCCTCAGCGTGGCAGTTGGGTTGTGTTATCTCCAGCTCACTAAGATAATCTGGGGTTGAAACACTGTGATTCTGATTATCTCCTGTCCGTCACCTGTAGCACGTGATGCTCTCTGTGTGTGTGTTGTGCTGGACTTATTAATTACATAACCTTTTTTTTTCGATTGCCCTTAATTTATCACCCCAGCTTATTTCACCAGGCTAGAAGGGTGAAGTTGGTTAGGTTAGCATCAGGGTGACATAACTGTACATGACTGGTAAATTCAAGTTGAAACACAGAATTACGTATTAAGAGCAGACATATTCATTAACTATTATAAATATACAATATATAATCGCACACACACACACACACTGTACTTTAACTTCCATTAGGAGACAAAAATCAACTCTGGTAACCTGTGATGTAATACTTTAAGTAGATAATAAGATGAGACATAAAAAAAAAATATTGTTCTAAAATATAAAGTGAAACTGTATTGTGTGTGTGGTAGATGAGAGAGAGAATGGGAGGAAAATAGGTCAGTAATCCTTATTAGGTAAAGATGAGGACACCCTCCCTCCCTACCTATATTTCTCGTCACACCACCTCTCCACTAGACAAGGGGAGGGGGGGGGGGATGCCAAATGCCTAACCACATGCTAGTTCATGCCCTTCTGAAGAGTGAAGTGCTACCCTCCTGCTGGCCTGTGTGAGAGTGAGAAGCTGCACACACACACACATACACACTGTCAGAACATCAATGTGGTGTACCAACGTGTTATTTGACTCGTGTCTATCATTATTGGCCATGTTACAACACCAGCTGGTACAGTATCTCATATCTGGGTAAAGCATACATACATACATACATACATACATACATACATACATACATACATACATACATACATACATACATACATACTCTACACATACATATGACGCCGCTACCTTTCATACACTCACTCTGTCTTGGTGTTATCTGTCCGCTAGTCTTTTATCGTTGTACAGAACACACATACAGTTCTCTATTCACTTTTTCTATCTTATCTGGCATTGTGTGTGTGTGTGTGTGTGGCAAAGACTAGACATCAGCCATATAAAAATTACAAACACTATACAGTACAAACAAGGACTTAAAAGAAATTGCCAGAAAAAGTCAAACAGGCGCAGAGAGACACAAACAATAGCGTTTCTCACTTGATTTTTTTTTAAATTTCGTGTTTATTTGTTGCTCTTAATTAATTTCGTGTTTATTTGTTGCTCTTATTTTTATTATTATTATTATTATTATTATTATTATTATTATTATTATTATTATTATTATTATTATTATTATTATTATATTTTCGTTCCCCAGGCCCCCGATGTGGGTGGGATAAACCTCATTAAAAAATACAGACAGACAGATAGAAAGAAAAACTGCTAAATATAGACAGAGACACAGATAGTTAGACAGATAAATACAGCCGGACATACAGACAGACACTCCCAAATGATATGACCTACAGACACGGAAGGTGGCCCACTACCCCTTGTTTCTTGCGTGTGTAGACCTCGTCAGGCTAATAAAGGGTCATATTACCGCTCTGGACAGTGCAGTAGTAGGTACCATAGAGTTTAATACTGTGTGTGTGCGCGTGCTTATAACTTTACCCCTCACAGACTAACCCACTACTACTGGTGTACTGTATATGTATGTAAGGTAGTAGGTAGCTAGCAAACAGGGAGGTACTACCGCCTGGGAAGATATTGGAAGCATAATGTGTTGTCTACTGTAATGGTAGACCCTGCTGCCATATGTGACCAAGTCCCAGGTTGATGATCTGACTTTCTGCCTCATTTACACACAATTGCAGGGTCTCAATTGTTTCTTTTACTATTGACAACACAACATAAATACTGTATATCGATTCTCGTTCATGATTTTTTCTTCTATTTTGTATTTATTTATGGTTCTTATTGTTATTGTTATTATTTTTATTATATTTTATTTTTTTATTATTTTAGTTCTTATTTATTATTATTATTATTATTATTATTATTATTATTATTATTATTATTATTATTATTATTATTATTATTATTATTATTATATTTTCGCCCCCCAGGCCCCGATATGGGTCAGTGACCTGTGCCCGGGTGGGATTATCTCCGTAACCCAAAAATTTATGTATGTTTATATTGTATGTATTTATGTGTGCCCCTCACAGACCAGACACCCACTCTTACAGCCTCGTTAACTAATTTAAGAGGACCCAAATCCCTAAATTCGTCCCCTTGAAGAATGGCGGGAGGAAGTGTGTGTGTCTGTCTGTCTGTCTGTCTGTCTGTCTGTCTGTGTCTGTCTGTCTGTCTGTGTGTCTGTGTCTGCTCTCTGAGGTTGACAGGTGCTCGTGAACAAAGGATTGGTAATCATGTGCATACCGTATTACCAAACCTGATCAACAGCGTGTACATTGGACTGCGGTGATGGTGGTGTAACCTGAGTGTGTGTGTGTGTGTGTGCTCGAATAATAAATAACGATGCACTGAAACATGACAGTCGTGAAGCAAAGTTATTACGTATTTCTGAAGAGTCATAATACTGTATAATATATATCCCACAATAAGAGTCGTTCATTATTCCTTGCTACTTTATTTTATATATATATTTTTTTTTAATCATGAGAAATGTTCATTATATTTAGGTGATGTTTGGTATTAATGGGGCCATGTGATTATCTCCCTCTCCTCCCTCCCCGTCTCCCCACCCTCCCCTCACCTCTCACCCCCTCTCCCCACCTTCCCTTCCTCTCCTCTTCCTCCTCCCACACACAGGTAAATACACTCTCAGACGAAGGAGCACTGGACACAGGCAGAGTCAGATTGGTCAGTCAGTAGTGCCTTAAGAAAATAGACGAGTCAAAAAGTCTCTCCTTATCGTGGTCAATTCAGGTCCAGGGTCCAGCTGGGTGATGAGTGGCCTGAGGTGTCCACCTCCCTCCCTCACCCCCTCCCTCCCTCCCTCACCTCCTCCTCACCTCCTCCTCCCCTCACTCCCCCTCCATCTCGACTCAAACTTGTATTACTTGACAACTTCCCAATTTCCTCCCAACACAAACTGAAAAAGGTATATCTATATA